TTTATATTTGCACTGCTACTAGGAGTTGTAGGAGTGATTGGGCAGCTGCAGGTGGAACCTTAGGTGTTGTAGATCCTACCAGAGACTGCATCTTTTATATCATCTACATCATCATATTCATCATCTGCAATTGCATCATATTCCCTGATATTACACTGGCAGGGTTAGGCATTACTGGTACATTGCCCACTCTGGGTGAGCTGCCGTCTACTGGCGCAACTTTTTTCAGAATCTTCAGTTATCCTGTCATGCTGAGATTAACCATTAGTCCCTTTAGATACTCTTCCAGCCATTATATGTACAATGCATTACATCATGAATTATACATTTATATAATCATGTACATCTATTAATGTGTTACTTTTATATGCTACTTGCAAGCATGATCGAAAGTTAGACTTATTACTAACTTTGAACACAACTCTCTCCTAGGCTCTGTAACAATTTCATAAAATTCAATCTTCTCTCTTAGACAACTGAATTTGCTTAAGCTTCTATAATTTAATTCTCACAATCTTAATTCTTTACTTTGATACCACTTTTATAACATCTTGCGATACTCTTCAAAACAAAACATATTGAATTTGTGGAATGTAAAACCTATGGGTTTTCTCTAGCTGAATCTGATGTAGGCAAAGGGGAGGCAAATCATGAGCCTATTTTTTGGATTGTAATTTTAGTGAGCTTCTATGTCATCTACTAAAATCCAGTTAATTAATATTAAGCTACTACTTATTCAACTCATAATTTGAAATTAATTGGGTTCATTTCCGCTCTCTCTATTGGCCCTTTGGTTTCCCCTCTGTGGCCCTTCGGTTTTCCCCTTGGCTCCTTCCAGTGACTGGTTTTTTCCCTGCCTGGCTGCCTGTTTCGATTCCCCTTGCGGCTGGCTGTTCCAGTCCCCCTTGGCTGCCTATTCCAGTTCCCTTGGCTTCCTTTTTCAGTTCTCCTGGCCGTCCATTCATGTCTCCCCTTGGCTGCCTTTTCTGGTTTTCTGTGTGGCTTTTCGGGTGTTGTTTCTGAACTGATTGTTGGCCTTCCATATTCTCATGTTTTTATGGTTTATTTGGAGGTGGCTTTGGGCTATTTAGCTACCTCTTATCTCCTATATATATGTGATGTTTTGTAATAGAAAAGGGTGTGTTATAATGTGATTTTTGGAAGCTAAAAACCTGCAGGTTTTCTTGGAAAAGCTTGCGAGCTTGTTCAATTTCTCTCTTCTCTCCTTGGGAAAGCTTGCGAGCTCTTCCTCTCCTTCGTCTCGGACTTTTACCTCTTTCTTCTCTCCGCAAACGCCACTTGTATCTTTCTTCTCAAGTTATCAAAGTGTTTTTGTTTTATAAAAGTTATGTTGTCTTTTTATTTAAAGTTGTACGTTATGTTTTTATGAGATAAAAGAAGTATTTAGTATATGTTGTGGTCTCTAATTTGTTGTGGAGACTTAGTTTAGTATTTATTTTGTTTCTTTTTTGTAACCAATGGTCTTCTACTTGTTTTGGGAACTTTTGGTTGCATCAATTTTTTTGGGTTGTAATTTTAGTGAGCTTCTATGTCCTCTACTAAAATTCAGCTCATTAATACTAAACTACTACTTATTCAGCTCATAATTTGAAATTAATTGGGTTCATTCCCTCTCTCTCTATTGGCCCTTTGGTTTCCCCACTTTGCTCCCCTTCCAGTGGCTAGTACCTTACTCCTTTGTGGCTGCCTGTTCCGGTCCCCTTGTGGTTGCCTGTTCCGGTTTCCCTTGTGGCCGCCCGTTCCTTCCCTGGCTGCCTGTTCTGGTTCCCCTGGCCATCTGTTCCTTCCCCCCTTGGCTGCCTTTTCCGGTTTCCTGTGTGGCACTTCGGGTGTTGTTTCTGGACTGATTGCTGGCCTTCAATTTCCCCTATTTTAATTGGCTAGATTGAGGGTATTTTGGATTGTTTGGCTGCCCCATTTCCCCTATAAATATTAAGTGATTTGTATGCATAAGGAGGGTATGTGAGTGATTTTTAGAGCCCAAAACCTGCGGGTTTTCTTGGAAAAGCTTGCGAGCTTGTAAACTCTCTTCTTCTTAGGAAAGCTTGCGAGCTTGTCCTCTCTTTCGTCTCGGCTTCTTATCTCTTTCTTCTCTCCGCAAGTGTCCACCCCATATGTATCTTTTTTCTCGACGAATGCAAGCTCCTTTGGGTGTTTTTATTTTATAAGTTTGTAAGAGTCGTTTTATAATATGAAAGTTGAATTTTTGCCTGTATTTTGTTATTTTTTTTAAGTCTTTAGTATGCTTGCAAAATTAGGGTCTTCTTAATTTTTGCTTGCATCAATTTGGTATCAGAGACTAGGTTAGAATTTTCCTAAGTTATTTGTCTTTTTTTGTAGTGTTTAGAAAAAAATGAAAAAAGGCAAAAATATTGAGTCAGTTGTGGAAGAAAATTAGCCAGAAGATCTTGAAGTCTCAATTCCCATGGACAGATGGATTCCGTCAGAAGGAAGTTCAACCGACCCGATTCAAAATGAGTTATACAAACTTCAAATGAAAATGCATGTGTACGGAGCAACATATGAAGAAAAAGAAATTTCTGCAAGAACAATTCAAGCGAGAACGAGAGATGATTCTGAAGAAATATGAGGACAAGATTCAAGAATTAGATGCGCCTCCTTCATCTTGTCGACATAAATCTAAAGCAACCTCATCGGTAGATGAGCTCTTTCAACCGGGGAAGAATTTGATGTAGGCAAAGGGGAGGCAAATCATGAGCCTATTTTTTGGGTTGTAATTTTAGTGAGTTTTTATGTCCTCTACTAAAATCCAGCTCATTAATACTAAGCTACTACTTATTCAGCTCATAATTTGAAATTAATTGGGTTCATTCCCCCTCTCTCTATTGTCCCTTTGGTTTCCCCACTTGGCTCCCCTTCTCGTGGCTGGTTCTTTCCCCCATTGTGGCTGCTTGTTTCGGTCCCCTTGTGGCTGCCTGTTCCGGTTCCCCTTTTGGCCGCCCGTTCCTTCCCCTTGGCTGCCTATTCCGGTTCCCCTGGCCGTCCATTCCTTCCCCCTTGGCTGCCTTTTCTGGTTTCTTGTGTGGCTCTTCTGGTGCTGTTTCTGGACTGATTGCTGACCTTTCATTTCCCCTATTTTAATTGGCTTGGTTGGGGGTATTTTGGGCTATTTGGCTGCCCCATTTCCCCTATAAATATTAAGTGATTTGTATGCATAAGGAGGTTATGTGAATGATTTTTGGAGCCCAATTCCTGTGGGTTTTCTTGGAAAAGCTTGTGAGCTTGTTCCATTCCTGTCTTCTTCTTTGGAAAGCTTGCTAGCTTTTCCTCTCTTTTGTTTTGCTTCTTGCCTATTTCTTCTCTCCGCAAGTGTCCACCCCATATTTATCTTTCTTCTCGACTTCTTGACCAATGCAAGCTTCTATAGGTGTTTTTTTTTATAAGTTTGTAAGAGTCGCTTTTTAATATGAAAGTTGAATTTTAGCCTGTATTTTGTTATTTTTCTATGTCTTTAGTATGCTTGCAAAATTAGGGTCTTCCTAATTTTTGCTTGCATCAGCTTTGCAAGGCTTTAGGGGAGGATGCAACACGTGACACGTATGGTCTTTGGTATTGATTTTGGCAGCTTCACGAGGCTTCATTCTAGTTTGGCTAGAATTCACTTAGGGCATGTTGAAATGATGCTTCGTTCGAGCTCGTTGTATTATGAATTCAGTTGATTTGAGTAAATTCAGAATACATTGAATATGCACTATTCCTATTAATTTGCATTTGTTTAACTTGCAACCAAATATTTGAAATCCTAAAACCCATTTGTACTACACCCCTAATACTTGTAATCAAACAACACCTTAGGCTTAATTGGTGGGATTTTCTACTATGATGTTTTTAGGCTTCTAGGTCTGCTGCAGTTTGTGTCGATTTTATCTTGAGTAAAAATTTCTTCAACTTTTGTTCACAAAGGCAAGAGGAGGATGTTTAGTGAAATCATGAGTGGATGGAATAGATAATGAGTGTGACAGACATGTGACAGTGATGAAACATTCTTAAGATATTTCTGTTGCCAACAATGAAGTTGTTTGAGTCAGAGAATGATGCCACATGAAGTGGCTATTGCTCCAAAATAGTTTTCTACTTGATTTCCAACCAGATTGCTGTTGATTCATGTTTGTTCGCACTTGTCTGCAGTTGCAGTATCTTGATAAATGTCTCTTTATGAGCATATAAGTGCTTGGACCTGGCTAAGGGAATAGTAGAGGCGTCTGACTGTGCGTGTTTCGAAGAGAAAATGGAATGGTTTTGATAGTCATGCATTCTCTTTTTATGTTGTTATGACCACTTACATGCAAACTTTGAGGTATGGTGAACCAATTTATTTATGGAGATTCTGGATTTACGGCTTGATTGGGATTCATTTGTAGGATGGATGCAGGTTCTTAATTCGAGGTGTCATCATTTATCCTTTTATTTTGTCATCTTCTTTCTTATGTTCTATGTACGCAGCTTTTGAATTGATGACTTTTCTCTTGCTAGTATTGTTTCCTCATTTGGCATTTTGTATTTGTATGCTTAGGGTAGCTGCTTTGACTTTTTTGCATTATCTGCTGGTAGTATTTCAGTTCATTTGTTTAGCCAATATTGATCAGGTTTTGTTTGACATAAATAATTATTTTTTTTCTTGAACTATTTGAAAAGATACGATTGATAGCGTTGAACATTTTGTGCGCCCATGGTTGCACATGCCAATTCAGTTTAAAAGACTTGATTGGATATTTTTATTGTTTGATGCAGGTTTAATTACACTCATGTGCTGTACTTATTTTTTGTTTTTTGCTTCGTTGAGGACGTCATAAGCTTCAAATTAAAAGTTTTTTCAAGTGAATCTTTGCAAGGTGCTTTTGTGTGAATTGTTTGCTTCAGTGCGGGGCCATATGCATCAGATTACAAGTTTTATCGAGCGAATCTCTGTAATTTGCTTTTGTTTTCATTGTTTACGTCCATAACTTTAACTTGAAAAGGTTTTGCAGTGCTGAACTGATCTTAGGTGAGGAAATACATTACAATGATCTTATAGATACCATTGATTGCAAGAATGGCTCAACTGATATTGGGATTGAGAGAACATTGAATGAGGTGGTAAAAGAAGGCATGGTTGCTGAAGGTATTGTTTCTATCATACAGGCTTTGGCTGTCAATAATGTTAAGTAGAAATGGAAACATTTTTCATTTCTTTTGTTTGAGTTTTCTAATATGGGATGTAAATTTGACTTTAAGATCTAAGCTTCCTTGAAAAAAAATGGATTGGCTTTTTGATTTATGAGTATCCCAAGATTCTTTTAGATGGTTCCCATGTCATCCGTAAGTGTCCTAGGAACTCTGGAGTAACCCGAAAAAGCTCAATTTAGGGGGTGGGATCAAAATGTTGTTACAAAAATGGCTTTTGGAGAAGAATCAAGTATAAAAAATTCAATCAAAATGATCCCCAAGCTTTAGCTGGCCAAGCATAGGAGTATTGCAATGGATTTATTTGATCCCTTGCATATAGCCATGCTTTTAATTCATTTCCTGAAATTTGGTGGAGTATTTTTAAGGAGGTTTTGGCTACTTTTGTAGAAGTGATTGCTAGATTCCAAAGGTTGTCGTATTTTTCAGTATTCTTTTCCTATTTTTATTGTTTTACTCAAAGTTTGAATGTTCTTAAGAAATTTCCGTGTTTATTTGTTGACATTTAAAGCCACAGCCAAATCGAAATGGGTAAGAGAATTAAAAAAATATACCTCACCTGCTCTCTGCACCGGACCATACCGCAAATCTCTGCCCAAAATCGTGCCCCACGCCACTGCAAACGGCGCCTAGTCCAACCGCCCATCTCTCGCATGTGTAAGTCGCATCGATCGCCGCTAGTTCGCGTCCATAAAAGGAGAAGGATCGCTGTTTCTTTGGCTCTCTCGCGCAAAGCCTCTGCCTCCCGCTTCCCTTGTTCTGTTCGGTCCAACCCACAAAGAGAGAGAGAGAGAGAGAGGCTTCTTCCCTTACCTGAGCCGGCCTCCTCTCCAAACCCGACGCCAAAGCCGCTGAAGCCCCGACCTCCAGCCATCCCGTCAACCTCCTTCCGTCCATACAGAGAGAGAAATCTTTACCTCAACCAATCTCCTCTTGCCACTGCTCCATCCGATCCCGTCTAGAGATTCGACCGAACTCCTCCATACCTAGCCATATTATCAAATATAATTAAATATGATTAATTAATATAATTATGATTAATTATTTTTAAATTATAATTAATTATCATTTATTATAATAATAAAAAAATAAAACAAATGCCCTCTTACCACGACATTTGTGTTGGGCCGGCAAACCGCCCATACACGCTTTTCTCTAGCGTGGTGGAAAGGGAACCCGGCGCGACACCTACGACGAGGTAGGCGAACGACTCCTCAGCTCCAAAATCTTGTTCTTGGCGTTCGTGGCGCACCGGAAAACCGCCTATACATGCTTTTCTCTAGCGTCGTGGGATGGGAACCCAGTGCGGCGCCTACAACGAGACCGGGATATTCATAAGTACCCGCTCGCGGGGAAACAACTACTTTTCTTACAACAGGTACTGAAGACCCATACACGCCTTTCTCTGGCGTGGTGGGGACAAAAAAGTTTCATGGCCCCGGTGTCCTCATACGAGGGCACCTACCATACACGCTTTTCTATAGCGTGGCGGGAGGCCTAATTTTCCGTAGTTTTTTCCCTAAACGGGGAAGACGTTGGGAGGTTGCTGAAATTTCTGGTGAATATACAACCGAATTCGGACCTGTTTGAACTCAAAAAAGAACAAGCATTCAGACTCAAATGAACAAGAACAGTGGACTTGTAGACTTGAACCTGGACTATTGAACAAAACTCAAATGATTTTAAAGGGCCAAACTCAAATAAAATAAAATCAAATTGGAATCAAATTCAAATGAAAATGAACATGCAATTGAACTTGCAAGGACTTCAGAAGATCCTGAACCAAAGTCACTTAAACTTATACTCTGAACTCAAACTGGATCCAAGCTCAACATGAACAATGAGGAACCCAAACTTTTAAGAATAATAAGGGACTCGGTCTTGCATTTGATTTGGATATCAAATGAGATGAACAAGACTTTGAACAAAGTTTTGAACTTGTACATTGGAGCTCAGACTTAGACTCAAGCTAAAACAAATATGCAAGGACCTGTACCAAAACTTGTAAACCCTAACTCTACTTGAACACTCGGGGCTCAAAATAAACTCGAGCAATAAAGGACTGGTCGTACTCAATGCGGCTCATCTACGAGCGACAAAAGAATCCAACATGTTACGGGTTGGCAATAAAGGCGTATTCGAAGAATCCAAAGCAAATACAGCCTTTGCACAATCAATGTCATTTGATTGTAAATAAGTGCCCCGCTCTCCTACAATACATACGACAAATCAAGGTACAAGTAGGCACGCTACGACCTCAAGGTGTATAAACAAAGAATGTAGTGGACTTTTACAACAGTCCCTACGAGATCGGGAGCATCGTACCTGCGGGAATAATGAATGGCTACAGAATGCACGGGTGTCCCTCCTACATGTACTGTTGGAATCTCCTACGACAATCCCTGCAATGCCTGTTGATTGAGAAGGCAATACTGGAGACCAGCAATCAAAGATCTGTCCCTACAAGCAAGTGCAATCGTCTACCCACCTTAGATTGGTGATAGTTGGGCATGGTGTTGGCAACAATGGGTCTCCTACGAACGATTCCAGGAGCTTGTAGTGGCTGCAGCGGGTCCCTACAAATGAGCATGATTACTTGTGGATAACAACAATGTGTATCGTAAGTGCAACGAACCATTGTGGACACAAGTATAAATATCACCTACGACAACGGTGATTAAGGCCTATTGGTATATATATTTCGGCTACAAGAGTGACTCAATGTACAAAATGTACACCCTCCTGACAGAATGGAAGAAATGTTTGAACAAATTAGAACCAAACTTTCTGGTGTTCCAAAGTCTCTTCTTAGTTTTATACTTGAGAAGAAAATAATCCTGGTGCCCACAAACACCGGAAATAGCAAGTCCACTACACCGAAGAACCTAAAAGGAGTTCTTTCCAAATCAGCAGTCATTGACTCCAAAGTTCAGAAAGTCCCAGTGAATGAAAAAAGGGGAAGTCAATATCAAGATGAGAAGACGCCTCGTAACATCAAGATCAGCACGCCACCGGATCTGCAACACTTATGCAAGCAGACAAAAGGCATCTACAACCTACAAGACACTGCCACCGGATCCGCAACACCCGTACTAGCGGACAGAAGGCGTGTATAAGCTCTTAAATGAAATATTGTGTACTCAAATGACAATTATCTGCACAACCAAAATATTTCAAAATACCCCTACATGTGCACCATAATTTGTATACACATAGGTACACTAAAGGGTAAATACAATCTAGACCCGCATGGGCCCCGACGAGCGTGTTATTGGTACACACGTGATGCCTAGGGATGCTGCGCAGGTCAATAAGTGAATTCAAGTTCGAATCCAATCCTTCTATACGGATTAATAGGAGTTGACAGGGTTCGAACTATCAAGCAAATACACGGTTGTGGTGACCGGTGTATTTGTTTAAATACATTCATATTAGGCCTTCAAGACCTATAATCAAGAGAATTCACTAACTAAGGCACGAAGCCTACGAAACCCGAACCTCATAATCAAATAAATAGGAGTGGACAGGGTTCGAACCATCAGATAAATATACGGTCACAAAGTCGACCGGAATATTTATTTTATACATTCATATTAGGCCTTCAAGGCCTATAATCAAGGGAAATTCATAAGCAAAGGCAGGAAGCCTACGAAACCTGATCCCTTATCGGCAAGTTGATAGGGTCGACAAGGTTCAAGTTATAAATGGAAAAGACCCAAAACACCCCGATGATGGCCGTGTTGAACGAAGATCTCAATCGGAGGGGTCAATTTCAGACATTTTCAAATGCTTCCCACATGTCCATTCAAAATCTTCAAATCCCAAAAAATCCAAAAAAATATTTAAAATTGAAATAAATCCATCAAACTACTTAAAGCAAAATCCATCCACCTTCCACAACAGTTTGTCAGGGTGGACAAATTAAAAATTACTTTAGCTCACAAAGAGCCAAATGCCTAGTCGAAAATATCACTAGGATCCATTCTCAAAAAATCTCCTACCAGTAGGGACGTGGTACGTGTCCTCTAACCGGCAGTTTTGCCGCCAAATGGCACTGTAGGTAAACGGTTATGACCCGGGGCCCTCTGAACCGAGTGGTTTTGCCGCCAAATGGCACCACAGATAGCGGTTATGGCCAGAGCCAATACGCTCCTTAGTGACATTAAATCATTGAGATATGAATTAATAGGATATGATCGATAGGGCACAAAACCCTCTGTTAGCTAAGGTGGATTTAAATTTGTCCCCTTAGACAAACACTCCCCCCAGATCTACAAGGTACCCTTGGACGAAGCAACCCATGGCTGCCGACAAGGATCCTTCTGTCAGGTTGGGTCGACTACCTCCTCTGACTAAGTAGACCAGGGACCACGATGGCCCGGGACGACGGAACCATGGGATCTTGATCGGGTCTATCATCCATTCCCCCACCATCAGCTTTAAGTGCAAGATGGTGAAATTTCTACTTTAAATATAAAATCTTCAAATTCCCAACTACTTTCCAAAATTCCCAAATTCTTAATCATTTTCAAATTTCCAAATCCAAACCCATTGCTGCTACTATATGCCAGATAACACGTATCTCTACGTATCTGATTGACGACTAGCCTTAATCGAAAGTTCTCTCTCATGATTGAGAGGGGTAATTAACTATAGGGGCTTGCGCCTATAGGAAACCAGAACTCAGATCATAAAGTCCTCACAAAATGAGGGCGAAATCTCTGGGTAGTGTCTTATCTACAAACCCATCTGCCTTCCAAAATTTACCCCGGAACTTAGTTCGTTAAAACTCCCTCGCCGAATAAAGAAAAGATAGCGGAGGCCGGGGCCGAATTTTCGGAGCCCACAGATTTCTGGCGACTAGTCATCTCAGTGCTATAGTAGTAGCTAATCTATACTGAATTCTGTACGGTGAACATCAGGATGTGACATTTGGTC